TGTTGAAATAAATTTATTTATATTGAAATAAAGAAAAATAATTATTGATATAACAAGTAATGTAGTCCGGCAAATGACGTCTTCTCTGTAGCTCTGCAGCCTACGCATTAAGGAGGCGGTGTCCTTGGACCCTTTGAGCTCGGCGTAGAAGGCACGATAGATCTTTTCAGCGAGGGGTGGTGGATGTCGTGCCCGAGGAAGTGACCTGGGGCTGGAAACAATGCGACGACCTCCGGAATGGCGTGTCTACAAGCTCGGCCTGTAGATAAGGGAGCGGAGGCTATAAAATATGTCTTAATAGGAATTTTACTCCATTAGGAACTCTAGGAGGTGAAGGAGTTGGGCTTTTTATGGAAAATGATACACGAGACTTCTACCCTAACAGAAGTCTAGAGTTACACGCAACCTTCATTATAAAAAGAGACAGGTTATTGTTTTTACACAACACACTTACACGCGCGAATTTATTCTCTCGATAATATCATTGCTGAGCGTTGGACTTACTTAAGCATCAGAGTGTTTTCAACCAAGTCCCCTTCTGGAATTTTGCAGAGAGCCAAAGGTCAACTACTGCTTGGCTTCCTTGCCTAGTTGCCTGCTTTCGATCCTTCAACCCCCCAAATCTTGACTGAACTTCGCTTCGAAAAGTTTGTTCCCATCGGATTCTCTCATAAGCCTTCTAGTCATCCTTTTTCAACTGCTTCATCAATATGCCTGACCCAGCCTTTACTTTCCATAAATACCCCGCTCCCTACCAACTTCGCTCCCGTGTCACGCTGACCGTCCCGCTTTACCCAAAAGAATAAGACTCCGAAGCTAAATAAACTGGCTTGGCTATTGAGAATCTCATTTTCCCAACAGATCGAAAGTAGAAAATAAAATGCCGGGGTACTTTCATTCGGCAGTCCAGATTAGCAAATCACGGTTCAAACAGGTCGAGGTTTAATTTGCGCAACAACTTGGCGCCGTCTATGGGGACAGATCCAGTCTTTACCGACTATAAGAGGATAATTTTTTCTCAGTAAAACAAAAAAGAGAGAATAAGACATGGACGAAGCATGGAATCAGAGAGTATTTGGGACGGGGCCACCGCCGGGATGGTCGCAGCTAATTATCACCCCAAAGAAGACATTGTTGGCACCTGGTACCGCGCTGACGCCACTGTTAGCACCTCAGGGGCAGTCGTCAAACTTGACGAAGGTGAACCCTGGGGGGTCCGGCGGACAAAAGAATAAAGATAAGGAGCTCGGCACCCGGGCCGACGGAGTGGTCAATAAGCAGGTCGGTGTGGGATCTGTTGGAGGTGAGGAACAGCAAGTCACCTCAACAACAAACAAATGATAATGGTAGAAGGGAAGAACCTTCTAGAGAATCACCCTCCCCCAACACCCAGGGAGGATCAAGTCGTTCAGATAACCAAGGCGGGGCTGGATAGGATCATCACTGAGGCGATAGACCGAGTTCAAGAAGTAGACAGGAGGGGTCCTAATGAAACATTTCGACAGCCTCTACCTCAATAGTTGCCCATGCCTCAACAGCAATACCAGCGCCAGGAGAGGGGCGAGGAAGACGACACCAGATCGGTAATCTCTCAGCCTGTCGCACCAACACAACAAGATGGGTTGACCTTGGAAAGGCTAGCAGCTCAGATGCGCGAGCTACAAGCTCGAGTTCAGGGTAAGATGTCTACAGTGTATCAAGGGCATCTTTTTGTGGATGAAGTCTTGGGAGGCGATCTGCAGAGTAATTTTAGGAAATTAAGCCTATCTTATGATGGATCGACGGACCCAACAAGGCATTTGAGGTCATTCAATAATATAGCAGTGTTACACAAATATAGTGACACTGTCAGTTGTCGAGCTTTCTTGGTGACTTTGAAGGGGTCCGCGCATGACTGGTTTCACCAACAACCGACAGGTTCCATTGATAGTTTTAAAAGTTTCAATTCTCTATTGTTGAACTAGTTTAGGGACTTAGAAAGTGTAGGGACTCACTGGCGAAGAGGCCGACAAGATCCTTTGACGATCTTCTCGAAAGATGCAGCAAGTACGTGAATATGGAGGAAGCGCAGGCTGATTTCATTCAGAATGACAAGGCAAAGGCGAAGCAAACAAAGGAGAAACCTCGTCAGAACGACCGCCGAGCTTCCCAGAGGGAGTCCAAAACTGAGGGTCGATTTAGAGGTCTGAGGTATGAGCATTACAAACCGTTAAACGCACCACAACGAGAGATCCTGTAGGTGATGGAAAGGCAAGGAGAGATGGAGTTGCTTGCAGAACCTCCCCCCCTCCCCCCTCCTTTCCACAGGAAAGGACAAATATTGTCGGTATCTTCACGACTATGGCCATTCCACCAACTTCTATCGAGAATTAAAAGACAAGATTGAGTGGCTCATTAGAGCCAGGCGCCTTAAAGAATTTGGGGAGGTGGTAGAATCGGGGCTCGAACACTTATCGGTCGTTTGTTGTTGGCTTCCAAGACCATAGCCACTGTAGTGCCCCGTTCTTTTAATAAAAGTTTAGGTCATTTTCATTTAAACTTTAACTCGACTTAATAAATTAATATTGAATATTTATTATTATTAAATATCCAAAATAAAATTAACTATTCCCTTCTATTCATAATAAATGTCGTTTTAAGAAGTTGCACAATAATTAAGGATATTTTTTTTGTCAGTAATAACCCTCTTTAATGAAGATAGAGAATGATGTTTTGGAAAAAATGAAGAGTGAATACGAGAATACGTAGTGTATTTATTAGCTAAATGAGGGTAATAATGAAAAAATATGTACAAAAGATCCAAAACGACATTTATTTGGATAATAGTTAATAAAGGCAAAATGACATTTAAAAACAATAGGAGGTAGTATAATATATGAAGATTATTAACCTTAATATTATTAACTCTAAAATAATTAAACTTAGTAAAATAATCTCTTTAAAATATATTGTCCAAAATAATATTAATTAATTTAAATTTAAAATAATTTTAGCATTAAGAAAGGGATTGAAATAAAGTCAAAGAGAATAAAAAGAAGAGCAAACTTACCTTAAATTGATGCAAGAACTCGTTCAAAAGAACTCCAAGAAACCGTCCAAGCAAGACCAAGCAAAAGTGTAACCGCCAAAAAGTTTTATGAGGAAAGACTTACCTTATTAAAACCTAGCAATTAAAGTGGCAAGTTCACATTAGTTATTTTGGTTAATCAGAGTTAGTTTTAAAAAATGTGTTATAGTTAGTTGTTAATGCGATTTTAAGAATATATTAAAATAATATTTAAAATAAAATAATTAAAATTGATTTAATAAGTAGTAGATAAAATAATTGGAAATAATTGAAAATGATAGGTAGTTAAAATTATGTGGATAATTGTGAATTAAAGTTGATGTAATGTGTAAGAATAATTAATTTGTATTATTTAATTATATGAATAATAATAAAGAGAGTGAGATTGAGTTAGAGTTGAGTTAAATTTTGAGTATGAAATAAATGTGAGTGAAATAATTTATAAACAAGCATGCCTTAGCCATTTCAAACTTCTTCAAACATCTCCTCTAATTTCTTAAAACCGAAAATTAGCCAAAGGTCCACATGCATCCTTCATTTCTAAAGCAAAATTCCTTAGAATTTTCTCCCGAAAATTTCATCCGGTGAGAAGCGAAGTTTTACCGACAAGAGAGAACCGAGAGCTATTGGATAACCAGTTCCTTTTCTTTGATGTTATGTTTGGTTTTTTCTTTTGTTGTAGATGTGGTGGACTGGTTTGTTGATTTTGGTCTGGTGATTATTTGCTTTAGGTGGTTGCAGGTCTTTTGATGATGTGTAGTTCTTTTCTTGTTCTTAGGAGTTGTTATGTTGGGCAGGGTGGTTTGAAGTTGTTGTGTTGTAGGTGTGTCAAGGTTCGGGTGGTTGTGCCTGCTTGATACCCCGGGTGGGTTTGTATCTAGACCACTGCTTGTAGTGTGTCTCCCAGTTTATTTTCTACCCGTTGGTAGGCTCGGCGATCATGTACCAAACTTTGATTCTTATTATGAGCATTTCCTATCGTTTGAAAANGAGAGAACCGAGAGTAAGTAGTTGCAAGCAAGGCCTAGCAAACAGAGAGAAGCCTTGAGCAAGCTTTGTCGAGAGACCCGAGAGCCCGAGGACTAGTGTCTGTCTGTGGCAAGAACACGAGGTGCTAGGCACCAAGTCACCAAGCTTGTCCAGCCTAGCCTTTTCCCTCTCCAGACCCGAGCCGAGAACCACCGAGACCGATCCCATCTCCCTTATTTTTTCCCCCTAAGAAAGGTGTTCTAGTTGAGCCCGATTTACCCCTTTTTCTGGCCGACCTTATGTTGAGTAAAGTTGGTTTGAAGAAAGAAGAATATAATATGTTAGAATAATTGTTAAAAATTTAAGAACAGAAGAAGAAAGAATTTAGTTTGTTGCCTTGTGTTGGTTGAATTGCGAGCCATTTTTAATATCAATTGTTGCTGCTAAACTTATATTAAATTCCAGTTAAGATAAATAAATTTGTATGCTTAAAGACTTATTAGAAATCAATGAAAAGAGAAGGAAGAAGATTAGTGTTATTGCCTTGCATTGCTTAGACGGTTAGACCTTGCTTGTTTATGGTTTAATTCGCTCAATATGAAATAATTCAAGAAAGTGAATTACTAGGCGATTGTTTACGAAATATTTCGGCCTTTTTATTTTGAATTGCGGGCCCACCGCAACTACTCTTGTGCCCCCTTAATTTAATGAGGAAATTGCACCCTCTACTTCCCCTTCCTCAATATATTATAAATTTATATCTCTTAATTTGATATTTATGTAATTACTTTCCCTAGGCTCTTTTTCCCCCAGCCCAAATTGAATAGTGACCAGCGTCTGCGGGCTAGTTTCCAGCACGACCCAGTTCGATTTCTCAACCAATTTTGAGTTCTGGAAACCTGTTTTTAATACCGATTTTAATTTTAAAATTATTTTCAAAATGAGAAAAATTTGAAAAAAAATTATTTTAAGTCTCAAGATTCAAAAGCAATGTTATTAAAACCGGACCGGACCGGCCGGTTCGACCGGGAACCGGACCTAGTACCGGTCCGGTTTTAGTATTTAAACCGCCGGGAGACAGAATCGTCTTCGAACCGTCCAAACCGGTAAAACCGGTGAACCGGTACCGGTTCGACCGGTTCAACGGTCCTGAAATGAGCACAATATTAAAAAAAAATAATGAATTAAAAATAAACTGAACAAAAGGAAAAGACAGAGAGAGAAAGTCATACA